TATTTTGCTGTACTATGTAGTTCTACAGTAAATTATTGAGGCAACATTTATAAGTTGAAAGTATTATGGAGAACTGTCTGGCCTGGACGAAAGGAGATAAACTAAAAGCTCTGCAAGTGCTGTTTGCAGTTTGCATACAAGGAATAGTTGTTTACATGTCCTGTGTAATTGACAGCTCCTACTACGTCACTCATCTTCTCGGCAGAGGTGAGTTTAACAATGCACCATGTAAATTGTAAATGGCTGCCGGACAGATCCCTTTCTCACCCAACCTAGATCAAGTTATCATCAAATAAAACGGATTTAAATGGCTTAGCGAATTTAGGTCTTGACTAGTACTACACTGGATTCTTATATTATATATCGGCTCATGCTCAAATCGTAGTGATGTTAAGCGAGTAATCGGTTATTATATGTACTTTGATTGGCAATGTCAATCCTTACGACAGCTCGTACTATAGTCTAAGATCTGCGCGGCGCGTCGAAGCGACAATTACAAATGAGTAACGTCCCCTGATTAGGACTCAGATTGAGTGAGTCTGCGATGTTTTCACTCTTTTGATGGATTTCTTCAACTTGAACTTATAGTAAGGTTTATAAGTATAAGTATAACCTACTTCGCAAATCAACGACGATATTAATATTTGAAACAAATATCGAACGAGTATCTATATCACCCATTTAAATATCCATTTAAATACTGGTTTTTTATGGCAAACAGTCAAACAGTATATATAATTATATTATCAAGACTATATTCTTCTTATACAAAGATATAACTTTATTTATTTCCAGGGATTCCAAATATTCAAGTGGGATTGGTTGGTATGCTTATAGCTATTGGAAGCCTTCTGAATGGGTTCTACGACATTCTTTACTTCCTGCTACACACCAAGAAATTCTCAATACGTGCTGTCCAATGTTTTCTAATGGCAGTGATAATCGTTAATTGTGCAGGTCAGACTTTTCGTTTGTTGATTAATTATTAGGAATATTTAATATTAAGATTTTTAACTTGCATGTTTAACATTTTAGTTTAAAGAGGTCTGAAATTTAATAGATTTAAAATGGATTAAAAAATGTTTATGATGTATACCGTTCAAATAAGAATTACGCTCATGCATGATAATACAATTACAACGACTACGACAGGCTTTGGTAATCATAGTCTATCAACAAGAAAATGATGTAACTTTATTTTCAAGAGTGAATATTTCAAATTTACTATTTATCTTCAATTTTGATGTATGAGAGTCCTTTCGATTTATAACACATGTTACGTAAGCTTTTTCAGGCCAGGGTTTGATAGAATATCTCCCGGAAGAGGACAACCAACTTCTGTCTGCAGTTCTCATGATGCAGAAAATGTTCCATGGCTTCGTGGTATTTCTTGGTTCCAAAGTTTATATAACATGTTGCATGGTTTGGTTTCCGGACCACGTCAACCTAACTGTGGGTCTTGTAGTGAGCACCAATTATATTGGTGGAGCTCTGGGTGTACTGATGGGAGGATACCTATACCAGCTCCTCAGCTTCAACGAGCCATACTTCGTAGCCAGTCTCATTTGTGCAGTATGTTGGCTTTACAACCTCATTGTCTTGCCATCAACTTCAGATCCGTTGTACCGTAAAGCTAAAGTTGAGGAAAGTAGTGATAACGTCCATCGTGGAAATGGACAATCTGATACTGCGGATGAAATGGCCGAAAACCCGGACGAATCAAATGAAAAGGGTCTCTCTTGGTTGGTGATATTTCCTCTGATTGCTCATGGTTTAACGACTGTGTCGGAAGGATTTTGTTCGGCTATAACAACACCTTACCTTCTGGATAGATTTGGAATAGAAATTGGTCAGGGAAGTAGCTACGTGTTCGTCCTGTTCATATCCTTTATAATCGGATCAGCTGGAGCTGGATACATTCTACAAATGGGCTGGATATCCAACTACAAAACAATGATGGCAGGAAGTGTCCTCACCATTATAGGGCTCCTGATAATCTTTCCTGGACAAGGCGTAAAGGTTATGTACGACAATGTCCCAAAGTTGGCCTACCCAGGATATATTTTAATGGGGGTGGGAAACCAACTGATATCCATCGCAGCCCTGGAAGCACTGGAGGAGACCCATGTTACCATTGCGAGACGAACGTTCACAGAGAAGAACAAGTCACTGGCTGCATCCGTGTGGCTGCTAGGCTGGTGGACGTGTATTTATGTTGGTCACCTGGTGGCTCTCATGGTTATGAAGTTCATGACATTTACCACGGGAGGATGGTTGGTCGCTGGGTGTTCTGGGGTATCTGCTTGTATCTGTCTCGTTTTCGAGGTTTGGGTAATAAGATCTAGAGTTCTTGTGGTGAGGCCTTTAGAACTGCCACCTACTCAGAATCGTTAATGATCTGTCCGAGAACACTTTTATTTTATGATGAAGAATATTGTGTTACTGTTACCTTGAACCCGAACATTATTCATTATTACTACTATTGACTCAATTTTGCACTTTTAAATATGATTTGACTTTATTTTCTAATCCATTCATCACTAAAAACTTAAAATAATTTGTAACTAAAAAATAAATAATTTGTAACTAATTTGTAATTATAGTTATACCTTAATTGAAATGAAATCAGAACGAAAATTGCAGAAAAATTGATCACGAAAATAAAAACTTTTATCATCGATACATAAGCATAATATATTTTCCTTCCGCTGATATTTAACGGGTGATACTCGTATAATATCTGTTCCATATATTATATACCGTCGACGAGTCCAACTCGGCGCGGCGCGCGGCGTCCTGGTAGGTTGTAAACCTACAAGCTGATATCAGATATATAGTATTACATATTACTATTAGTATGATATAGTAGTGACAGTACATACGTCATACAGTATAGAATTATAGTAGAGCGAAGCTTGCTGCACGTTGTATACCTCTCGTGTACGCGAAGCCGCGGCCGGCGCGCGATCAAAAGGGGTTGCAGCGTGTGTCAAATCATAGCTATGCCTATATACTATACATCTAATCATGGTAGTCGGGTGCTGCGCGTTACGTTATGTTGTATCACGTGGTGACCCCCACGGTCGCTTCACTATATATAACCCCTGTAGAGTTTCGACGATACAGGGGGAGCCGCGCACTCGTGCGCGGCGGGTCATATAACGTATGACAAACGTTATGGGCATTTTCTGCTCTATACGCTAGGAACTCCAGACAAACCTTTCTAGACGTATTTTTGACCGTAGAATCGATTAAAAGTGGTTTTGAAAAGATAAGACTGGGTTAATTGTTGTATCACGTGGTGACCCCCACGGTCGCTTCACTATAGTAGAGTTTCGACGATACAGGGGGAGCCGCGCACTCGTGCGCGGCGGGTCATACAACGTATGACAAGTTAATTGGCAATCGCCGGGTAAAGTTGCAGAAACCGATTTTGGGCCAAAAAACCATGTTTTTTGAACTGTTGAGCATTAGCAAGATAATTTTGTTGGCACTTTCCTGGGGACCCCAGGCTATTATGTTCATAAACATATAAAGATTCGGCGGAATGACAGGCTGAGCGTTAACCGTAACGGGTGATACTCGTATAATATCTGTTCCATACGGCATACCGTCGACGAGTCCAACTCGGCGCGCGTCCTGGTAGGTTGTACTTGTAAACCTACAAGCTGAGCGCCGCCCAGTAAGTTGGCACATCAGCAAAATTTGCATAATAGTCTATGTCATACATCATAAGCGCCATAAATTGGCACAGAATTTTTTTCCTCATATTTCGATAAATTTGGTACCAAAAGTTGTCTAAAAATGTAAATAAAATAATTTCACCGTGTAGCAATTTTCACTAAAAATGCTGCACGGCGCTTGTTCGCCGCGCAGGGCCTCTGCTAATATTATATAGAGACGAGGGAAACAAACATGAGTGTTATGTAAATTTGGATTTATGAGCAAACTTGCCGCAGGTCTGGAAGGAAACTTGAATAGTTCACTTAAATGGAAAGCGCGGAAGAATTCAATCAGCAATTTTCATTCACTGTCAAAAACTCAAATAATTCAAAATTAGAGGCACTTTTGGCAGTATCTAGATAGCCCGACCACTGTCCGCAGACAACTGTCCGCGGACAACTGTCCACGAACACCTGTCTACCAGATCATATTACTGCATAATAACAGTATCCCCTGAATCAAGCAACAGGTGTTTGTGAATAGTTGATTGGTTACCAGATCATATGAATGGTATGTATGGTATCTTGGATGAAATTAGTTACGACTAGCATAATTAATTGTAGCGTAGTAAATTACTGGATCAAACTATTGATTACGATTCAAATGTGGTCTCTCGGATATAATTAGTTACGAATAATATTGATTGTAGCGCAGTATATATAACATCCGAGAGACCATAGTTGTTCAAGAAGGAGTTGATGATAGAAATGATTGATGCAGTCTGTTAATAGTTATTCTTTATATGTATAGTTATTCTTTATATGTATGTATAAAGAAGTTATTCTTTATATGTATGTATAAAGAATAACTATTATCAGACTGCATCAATCATTTCTATCATCAACTCCTTCTTGAACAACTATGGTCTCTCGGATGTTATATATACTGCGCTACAATCAATATTATTCGTAACTAATTATATCCGAGAGACCACATTTGAATCGTAATCAATAGTTTGATCCAGTAATTTACTACGCTACAATTAATTATGCTAGTCGTAACTAATTTCATCCAAGATACCATACATACCATTCATATGATCTGGTAACCAATCAAATATTCACAAACACCTGTTGCTTGATTCAGGGGATACTGTTATTATGCAGTAATATGATCTGGTAGACAGGTGTTCGTGGACAGTTGTTCGTGGACAGTTGTCCGCGGACAGTGGTCGGGCTATCTAGATACTGCCGCACTTTTGAGGTGCATTAATATTTAATTTTCTGCGAGAATTTAGCATGCTGACTACCTATCGAACAAATAAAGATCAGTCAGCCTTTCGGGTTCAATATAATAAGTTATTATACTGTTAACATTTCTGACTGTAAACATATAAAACATAAAAATAAAAATGATAAAACGCTGAACTCATGTCATTCATAATGGTGTTCGCAATTATTTTACAAAAATAAATCTGGCATTTTGATAAAATCTCCACTATCATGCATAAACGAGATAGAGTCCAAACTCAAATGGGTCACAAATCGTCATGATGTTCAAATCGGTTTTGATACCATCGATCATATCTGGTCCTAAAAAAAGTAGTAACAATAATGGTAATCAATGATATTCGCATGCAACTAAAACCTATTTCAAAACCTAACAGTTATCAGCTGTTGGCTGCAGTCTATTCTGATCAGTCTGGTTAGGTCTAACTATCTGATTCTCTTCTGACTCAAAGTACTGAGGTTGTTTTCTAGTCCTAGTTCTAGTACAAAGCTGCTCTTTCTTATGCTTCTTCTCAGTCTTCAGTACTATCGCAGATGTTTTGACCTCAGGTATATTCTGTCGGAGTCTTTAACTCTTGATTCTTTCTTCTTGTAATTCCCTTTTGTCTCTTCAGTACAGGAATGTCACCTCAAATATTCCTTCTTTGTTCTGGAAGTTCACCTCCACTAAGAAGTCGTCCTCGTCTTGAAATTGTTCTACCATGCGAGAGTCCATGTGGATCAGTAGTCTGCCATGGAAATGTGGTTAATTAATCAAATTATAGAATCTGTCGTATAAAACTATGTTGAAGTGGAATTTAGTAGCCGGATGCCATTTATAGGGCTGGGTAAAATAGTACAGAATGAATGATTGGAGAAGGGTTACAGAAACTTACCCTTTTCTTGTGCGTTTGTACAATTTGACGGGCATGTTCTTTGGTATTGCGTACTTCGATGCAACCTATAATTTGAATAGTAACGTTATAGTTTGGCATCGAAAAATGTATAACTGCAAAATAATTATTTAACAAAAACGCAACCTGACTGAGAAAACTAAAGTCAATAAAACATGAACACTAAAATATATAATATAAAATCTAAAAACTGACCTCCTCTTTCAGTCCATCTAAGCTAAATTTTGTTAAGCAAAGTGCACTGTAAACCCTCTCTTCCGTCTTCTTAACGTATATCGTAACTGCGGAGGTGGAGAGTATTTAATTTGTGTAATTACGGTAATTACACTAATTACAGCAGTGGGAAATACATGTCAGACAGTTAACCACTCAGCTACCAGCCAGTTACGTCATTTGAACTATTGAAATCTGCGTGCATGTTCCTTGGCTCACTCTCCGTAGCTAGATGGGTGGGGGTGTAGAAGATCCCCCCCTGCTAGATCGCCATATATTCCTGGATTTACAGATTCCTCGATGGGGATTTCCAGGAATATTAATGTGCTACCACACACATTCCTTGTGTGTGACTGTAGCAAACCGGTTTCAGAAAATATGCATTCATTATCAAATTATCATTCTCAGTGCTTTAGAGTATTTGCCAAAAGTAAACAAGTTTTCAGAGGTTCGTGGCTGAGTCTAGCTGGAATATAAAACCAGTTTTAATAATGCACGTTCTCCAAACCTATAACAGTCCTGATTGAATTATACAATTTAGCAGATCTGCAGCTTTAACCTTTTTTGGGATATTCACAGAATACCTCACATATTATTCCGTGGTCTTAACATAATCATTGAATATTCTAAATGTCCTATAAAACCTGTTTTTGACTCCAGATCACGAACAAGAAAATATACCACTTAAGTAATGCGAGAGGACCTTTAAGGGGGGGGGGGGGGGGGGGGTTACGTAATCATTCTAATTTATAGGGGAGAAATGCAGACATTAATGTATACATGTGTTGACATGGTGACGGGAATCTAATATCTCCCAAATGTTGAGGTAATATAATGTGAAGGGTCCCTAATACAACAAGAAAGCCAACTATTCTTGCTTGTGTTATTAGTTATATGTACCTGGTCGGGAGGATTGTATTCTTGCTTGTTTACTCGGACGATCCTGAAAATACTACATTAATGGACTGGGAGGATAATGATTGTGAAATTAAAAATAAAGAAATAAGTATAAAAACATTAAGACTATTTTCGTTGAACGGTACACGATTAGTCTTGGTCCTGAATTAAATTTAAACTAGTAAAACTTTACTAGTTTTGCGATTTACTAGTTTAAATGTCACGCCAATTGTTTTGTAGATTGCAACTACTGCAGCAACCCAAGACATTGTAAAATCCGCAATTAATAATAATAATTAATTTACAAATTAACTCACATTAAGTTCATCACTAGGTCCTGCATTGTTCATATGATGGGCATTGTCCTGAAATTTCAAATATTTACACTCTGATAGCCAAACAATCATAGTCATTTTGAGCAAATTAATGAACCATTCCACGTTTTTAAAATGATGTTCTTAAAATTAAGACAAGATAGCCCAAATTAGATTCGGTGACTATGCAACTACATCGGGGATCCAATTTCAGAACAGATAATTCCACATTTAAACCATTAGGAGATGACTGGGTGCAAATATACAATATAAAGAGCAAGATATCTTTTATCAATTAGGCTAGGGGTATCTTAGATACCCTAACCTAATTAATAAATAGACTCTACCAGAAAACTGGTTTAATTAACCTAGTTTATCCAGTTAATCTCAGTACCTGTGGATCAGTACCGGATGTGGTGAGTGCCTGCGATATACTCCTCTTTGATTCTCTGTCCCTGAATTAGGGGATGGTTAGTTTCGGTAATTTATAGGATCTGATATAAAACCACGGGGAAATAGAGGGTTAGTTCAATAGCACCAGGATATCAATCATCAAAGAAAATAGAAATGTAAATGAAGTGAAGTGGAGGGTGAACCTCAGTGCGCATGTAGCACGTGCAGGTAGCACGTGCAGGTTGCTAAGCAACGAGCTAAGTAGCGGTTACTGGTCCGGTTATTGGCTAATTATGATGGTGTGAAGTGTGTTATCACTGTAGGTGCGGTGAGTGCTGAGAAACGGAACCTACTACAAACGCAGAGGGGAGGATGATGCAGCTTGCCGCGCCCCGGCTTGCCACTCCTGTGGGACTAGTTATAATAATCTAGAACATTTAGATCTGACAACCCTGCCAGTTATAACTCAACTTTTTATAATATTCTGGGGACTGTCCATGCTTTACTGAGAACAGCCACATTATTATTTCCTTTTCAATTATCTGAGCTGTATGTTTTGGTGGCTAATGGCTAAATCTAGTGGCTAAATCAATGCTCATTGAATAAATCTAATAAAATCAGTTTCTAACAACTAACCTTGACAATACTAAACTAACTAATTTCTCGGTTAGAAAAACAGAGAATTATACCATTTATATCTCCAGCCATGCCTACCCCTAGCTATACCACGCTATCAACCCAACCTGATACGAAATAATTATTGAGTAAGTCAGTAAAGTACAATTAACCTATTCATGTATATCATTGTATAAGAGCGACGACTATTTCTTATTACAGGAAATATGTACCTACATTATGCATTATACATTATAAGATAATAGATGGCAAAATTACACCTCACACATCACAGTAATCTGATAGTACTAACATTGTCATACGGAACTTAGGACAACTACAATAAACAACACTAACTAACAACACTAACATACTCGTTCAAATACGCTACTCAAGTTAAACTTGCAGAAGAGAATCAAGCCTATACAATGGCCAATGCTATACAATTCACAGATATCAACTAGATTTCGAGAGAGAAATGACAGAAAGCAACTCACTTTCTGAATGTAAGATTTGACATTTCATTGCAGAGATTGGCCCCGATAGTCATGGTTGAAACGTTGTATCTTCAAGGTTGAATACCAATAGAGAGATGATTCGCGTTTTGCGCTTTACTAGTCTGAGCTAGCAGCTTTTCCGTATCAGCTAGTTTATCAGAATAGTTTCCTACCATGTAATGACAAAGGCAGGGACGATTGCTCGGAGAGTTCAAGTCGAGAGAGTGAGAGCCAAAGAAATGGAAGCAGCAGAGGCAGTGTGGCCTATATAAGGGCGTGATGTGGACCAGCCGTCAAACAGGTTCAGTGTGCTCTGCAAACCTGATTTCGAAGGCACGGCGTGGCATGGCTTCTCTACTTCCAGCCCTGGTTCCATTGGACGCGCGCAGTCACGTGAACATGTCACATGTCGTCATGGGAACGCGCAGACAGGTCACGTGGGCCATACTGTGACGTTAAGTCACGTGATTTAATAACCAGGATAGTAACTTAGCGATGTGGCTGTGCAGAGGGTAGCGGGAGAGCTGCTTCGAGGATCGAACTGGTCAACAACAGTAGGAGAATATTTCTGGTTAGGTTCGCATTAGTTTCAGAGACATCTCTCAGGAAATATACGTGACCGTGATCGCTCCCTTCAGCCTGTCGAATGTCGACACGGTCGAATTCGGTGGTTTACGAGGCTGGTTTTTGTGATACCACCATATAAGCACTAAGTGGTCGCAAACCTCTAATCCTGTTATTTGTTAAACTGAGAAGAGTAAGCATGACGAGACGAGCAGAGCCTGGCAGTGCAGCTCTGGTATTATCACGAGACAAGTACAGCTTCATTGTACGGCTACAATGTAGCAAAAGTTCACGTCCCTTATTTTACGATTACAATGTATCCCTTATGGGATACACGAATCGAGTAGAGAGGTCAATATGTTTACTCCTTAATCTATAGCTACTATGTACAGGGTTGTCATGTGAACTCTACCCCAGATCTAGCCCAATTCTAGTTCAATTCAATTCTATCAGTATCTATGGATCACATCACTAATTATACGTCACTAATTGGTGATCTGGTTTCTCTGGTTTAATACTTATCTGCACAATATACCGCCGTGACGTGCTCTACCTAACCTGGTATCCCGCGATTAATTAACTGGCAGAACCAGCAGAACCTGTAAGCAGTGCTTACTAAGCACGGATCTAATGGAAGCAGGTTTATTACGTTATCTTCACTTTTATAATGAGACATCTCTCATGACTTAAGCATATCGAAGCATATCACTCAACAAAAATAAACTCATAGCTACTACAAAATGGTTGACGCTAGAACTTGTCCTGACCAAATGAAGGTGACTAGCCGTTTAGCATCTCGCAATGGACCATGGCCAGTGGCCAGCAATGGTAAAGTTCATTTCCTCACAACTTCAGTAAGGACCTAGTGTTGGCCCAATTCCCGAACGAACGGTCGAATAATCTAGAATTTACTAGAGAAGCCGGTATGGCAGTGGTATCTGATAAAACAGGTTTCTAGACTAACTGGTGAGCCAGAGCCTGGCCGACTCCTGAATTAAAACCCATCAAATGGGCGCTCTCTCCCGGGTAATACGAGATTAAATGTGGCCTGATTGTGGTGGGAAATTTACAATGTTTAGCCACCACATTTAGTAGTATGTTACCCGAATTATTGAATAAATTTTCTTATTTTCTAAGGCAGATTATATTTTGGTGTCGCATTTGAGCAAGTGTCGCCGTAACAAAAATGTATTAATGTAAAAATAACATATTATTATATGCAATAATAAAATATGTGGTTGCCATATTTATCGAAATAATTGTAACGAAAGTTTAAAGATCAAGTACGCAAATACAAGTCGTATTATCTGTGCGTAAGTTTCTGTGAATTTATAAAGCGCGTATCACTTTTGCGTACTAATAGCAGTCAAACGTCTTTAACAAGCAGTCAAACTTCTTTAACCAGCAAAGCAGCAACTAATCGTAACGAGATAAAGGAATTACGAGCTAAAGGAAACATACCACTCACATCTACTAACTGGTTCTACTTCTACGTGTTTGAGATTAACAACATTTTACATTTTCATTACTTGGCCAGGACATGTCCTCTTCCTGTCATCTTCCTGTTCTCGTCCTGTCCAAAACTTGTTCAAAACTTGTCCAAAACTTGTTCAAAACTTGTTCAAAACTTGTTCAAAACTCGTCCAAAACTTGCTCAAAACTTGTTCAAAACTTGTTCAAAACTTGTTCTAAACTTGTTCTAAACTTGTAACCCGTAACTGGATCAGATCAAGAATTCTCAACTGGGCCGGATTAGCAAAAATCTGGTTGTTCGGACCCGGGCCAGGATCTCATAAAATCTTGTATTTTGTTTCTGAGAAACTGTTTTACAGCAGGTTTTACCGAACCAGATCTGATACCCCTCATGCAGGCCTAATCATGAATTGCGAAATGGATTTACACCTCGCAATTTATATACGTCATATTATTATATAAGTGGAGCTTTTGTAACAAGCTCACTCACAAGTCCTACAAGTCCCACAAGTCCCACAAGTCCCACAAGTCCCACAAGTCCCACAAGTCCCACAAGTTCCACAAGTCCCACAAGTCCTACAAGTCCCACAAGTCCCACAAGTCCTACAAGTCCTACAAGTTCCACAAGTCCCACATAGCTTCCACATATAACTTGGGGTTTGCTAAAAATATTGAATCATATAGATAGTGGTTTTTCCGGAATCCATGGTTTGTTGATATGGCTGATGACAAGCAAAAGGAATGAACAATCTTGTTGAAATTGTAACAGTGGGAATGGAATGTTGAAATAGTATGAATGATAACAAACCAATCCAATGATTTGCTAGTACAAACCGAATACATTTTCGGTTTTTATAGACAACGAAACAGATAAAAAATAATGGTTTTATGAAAGCAATTTACGAATAGCAACTTCGTTATATTTTCACACCACGTGCTATGACGTCACACAAAGTGCTATGACGTCAAACCACGTGCTATGACGACACACCACGGATCCCACCTGATGAAAGCGAAGAGAGAGTCGTTGTTCTGCTTGTTAGGAGATCCCCACGTGGAGTCAGGACTGTGATCACTGACTGTGGTAACAGTGCTGCTTACACTGCATGTGCTCCCACTTCCTACATCTACATATCCCGGCACTCCTCCTCCACCCGTCTGAAACATACGAGTCATTATTGCTGTTCAGATCAAAGTAGAACAACACGTAAACTGCCATTATTATAAGGTGCGAAATTCTTGGACATTTTGAAATTCTCACATTGTTCACCATGGACGATATCAACTGGTTGCCAAAGTCACTAGTGGGCTGCTGTTGTTGGAGCAGTTGAGGTAATTGGGATACCTGGTAAGTAGGAGTGGTGACGTGGTAGTTTGGTCCGTAGAACTTCTGTTCGGGGATAGGCGCTAATGGCGCCTGCATGTCCTCAACACCGTTCTGATAAAAAAGCTAATTAGTTTGTTAGATTTTTGTTCATTTGAAAATAATTTCACTATCTTTTAGCTAATTCAGCATCACGAAATTTTGTTCAATTTCGGGTTGGATAGTCGAAAAAATCAAGTTTCATCGAGGTCCAACTTTTCTTGAATAAACAATACATGGCCGAGCCATGGGTCTTACCTTTTTGGTTTTAATTCAATTTCATTTCAAGTTTTATATAAAATTCACCCTGAAACTAATCGGTTACTATTACTCACCACAGAAAAGCTGAGGTTTCTGACGGGTGCAGTGAAGATAACAGGTTTGGGGCTAAGCACAGTCGTCTTAGTCAGAACAGTCTGCTTGCAAGGCTTGTGGAACACTGTAGTCACAATGTTGTTTGGATCTTGATCAGATGGAGGAACTGAGGGTGGGATCAAGTGTTAATATAATAATCACAGTTTTTGTAATCTAAGTTTATTGTGTGCATTGCTCCTTAAGCCAGGGGAAGAGAAACAAGAGATCTGGTTAATTTGAGAAACTAAACTTCTAAACAAACAAAAAACAAAATCGAAAATTATTGAGAAACTTGAAAAGAAAATGAACAAAATAAAAATAAGAATAAAAAGAAACTTAAAAGTCAGACATTTTATCAGGTAGTTGTTTTACTGGGTTTCAATCCCAGCCATGTATATTACTGGACAGTAGACATGTTTTAGCCGGTATTAATTACTTCGTATACAGAAGACATGACTTGGATCAAATATGGTGATTCAGTTTTTAATAACTGTCTAATTTTGTTGACCTGATCCAGCAAGAATTGTTGTCCAGCAAGAATTAAGTCTAAAATTGCATTTCCCCACTAAAATTGCATTTCCCCACTAAATCTTGGTGCGACCAGGGTCCATGTTAAAAAGAAGCTGTACTCATTAGTGCAAATGATGGTTGTAAACCAGCAACACACTCTTCACAAGGTCAGTAGTTTGATCATTACACTTAATAATATGAGTCTCTAGCTTATAAAACCAAATATCACGTACTTTAAGTTATAAATATAAATTAATATACCCGTTGAGGTGATTTCATTACAACTCAAGTTCAATTCGTGTTTTTGAATTTTAATACATGTTTTTTCTGCTGGTTGTCAGCCAAAAGCACAAACCGGATTCAACTTTACTCGATTTTAAGTCAAATCCTGATTCTCCCTAACCAAGATATAATTATCTATTATCTTTTTATCATTATGAACCCTCGACTTTCTGATTATATTCTAACTGCGCTCGTTAAACGGTAATCATGAAATCATCAAAAAAATATATTCTTAATTATCTGAGATCCCTTAAGTTCAAAAAAGTTAAGTACAAGTTTAGTGGAAGAGGTCATGGAAGAACTACTTAAATATATATTATTCATCACTTTAAATAGGTTAGCATACCTAATAATGCGTCCTCATGGATAACATATTTTAAGAAGCAAGATTTACTTCACCAATTATTTTACTCGAATATTTAAACCAGTATATTGTGTAATGCTTGAAGAAACCAGGGTCCATGTTAAAAAGAAGCTGTACTCATTAGCGCAAATGATGGTTGTAAACCAGCAACACACTCTTCACAAGGTCAGTAGTTTGATCATTACACTTAATAATATGAGTCTCTAGCTTATAAAACCAAATATCACGTACTTTAAGTTATAAATATAAATTAATATACCCGTTGAGGTGATTTCATTACAACTCAAGTTCAAATCGTGTTTTTGAATTTGAATACATGTTTTTTCTGCTGGTTGTCAGCCAAAAGCACAAACCGGATTCAACTTTACTCGATTTAAAGTCAAATCCTGATTCTCCCTAACCAAGATATAATTATCTATTATCTTTTTATCATTATGAATCCTCGACTTTCTGATTATATTCTAACTGCGCTCGTTAAACGGTAATCAAATTGATTTGTGTAAAGTGGAAACTTTATCGGTAAGAAATATGATACGAATGTAGCTTTTTTTCAACTTTACACAAGCTATTCATTGAGAAAGAGACCCTTTGCGTGTATTGTTCGAGGATTCCGTCGCCAAAATTTGAAAATTCGAATATTTTAGACCACGCCCATTCAATATTAAAACACCTATATTGTTCTCCCTGAACATGCTGGACGCCTAATTTTTTCAGAGACGGTAGATTATTAAATGTTGAATCTGCTGTAAAACAATGATGTGAAGCGGATTTGAAATGACGAAGTTATCAAGCATTTTGTGTATCTCGTTAACAAAATTGACTGGGTGATTATGTAACACGGGGACACGACACCTTAATTGGGCAGCCTTAACGATTCCCATAATGTTTAACGGGGTGGTTAACGGGGCAACCTTATCACGTGATTAGGTAAGCCAATCACCTGATCACACGTGATGAATAACCTCGTTATGCTTCATATCTCGGTCATCTGAGAAGCTAGAACTCCCCATTTTTTCAGGACAAACGTAATTTGAATGGCCAAACACAATTCAATGAAATTCGGCTCGATCCGACTATCCAAACTATCAAATAAATGCAGAAATGAACCTTCATTTGAAAAAAATGGACACGAATATTTTCCAATTTGACAAATTCCTCGAACCAGTGGGGGCAGTAAGTCATACCAGAAAGAATTATTTCGATTGGACACTCAGTAACAGAGCTATTAAGGGCAACGTTTGCACACTGACTTTTGGCCCCCCTGTACATTCCACTACACATTCATTCAATAAATGTAATATAATACATTTTAACTGTTAATAATATTATTATTATATCAAATCAAAAATATAACGTTATTAAAGATCTGATAGGTAGCATGAAAAAAATAAATACGGACACATTTTAATTAATTAATCAAACTTAATAGTAAATATTTATCAGTAATCAGACATGATTAATCGGGGGATGTTAAATAACTTACTTTGTCCGTTTTTAAGGAGCTTCTGTAATTTTCTGTCAGCAGTTCTTGATTCATCCTTGTTCTTTCTTTCAGCTCCTTTATCTCTGAACACCTAAAAAAATATATTCTTAATTATCTGAGATCCCTTAAGTTCAAAAAAGTTAAGTACAAGTTTCGTGGAAGAACTAATACAATATAATATATTATTCATCACTTTAAATAGCTAAGCATACCTAATAATGCGGCTTCATGGATAACATATTTTAAGAAGCAAGATTTACTTCACCAATTATTTTACTCGAATATTTAAACCAGTATATTGTGTAATGCTTGAAGAAACCAGGGTCCATGTTAAAAAGAAGCTGTACTCATTAGCGCAAATGATGGTTGTAAACCAGCAACACACTCTTCACAAGGTCAGTAGTTTGATCGTTACACTTAATAATATGAGTCTCTAGCTTATAAAATCAAATATCACGTACTTTAAGTTATAAATATAAATTAATATGCCCGTTGAGGTGATTTCATTAACAACTCAAGTTCAAATCGTGTTTTTGAATTTGAATACATGTTTTTTCTGCTGGTTGTCAGCCAAAAGCACAAACCGGATTCAACTTTACTCGATTTAAAGTCAAATCCTGATTCTCCCTAACCAAGATATAATTATCTATTATCTTTTTATCATTATGAATCCTCGACTTTCTGATTATATTCTAACTGCGCTCGTTAAACGGTAATCATGAAATCATCAAAAAAATATATTCTTAATTATCTGAGATCCCTTAAGTTCAAAAAAGTTAAGTACAAGTTTCGTGGAAGAACTACTACAATATATATTATTCATCACTTTAAATAGCTAAGCATACCTAATAATGCGGCTTCATGGATAACATATTTTAAGAAGCAAGATTTACTTCACCAATTATTTTACTCGAATATTTAAACCAGTATATTGTGTAATGCTAGAAGAAACTCTATTTGCTACAGTTTATAATTACCGGTTAATTACCGGTTAATTACCGGTTTGAACTTTACCCACCTTTATTTGGCAGTAACATCGGTCAGCAGGTTCAGGGTTAAGTGATTCAGTGTCCTCGAATGTGTCCGTTTGTATGTAAAGGGGCGTGCCCTTTACTCCTTTCTGGGAACTGAATTCCGTGCTGAAATTATCGGATAATTTTTATTAGAAAACGCAGGATCTTTATCAATAACGCTTCGAACTATTAGCCGTATTTGAGGGAATACTCTGTTTTTTAAAAGTATTATCTTAGGAACTTCATTGAATCTTAAAGGTTATAATTGAAGGTAACTGGGTAAGTGAGATCCCAATATGTAACAACGGCCTCTCGTGGGCCACCCAGGCCCAGCCTCTCTTAAAAAAGTCACGTTTTGTTTTAATTAGATTTGCAGATTCTAAATTTTCCTACCAGTTATCCGGGCGGTAACAGGTTTATTTTAACAGGTTTATTGTTAACCGGCCAAACTCAAACAGACTTGTAGTCTATCACCGGCTTTAATTTAAATTTAACTGCTCAATATTCGATAACATGTTAAGTTATCTTATATAATAACGTTATAAAACTTACATATTTTGAATAACCAAGCGCAGGAGACTTATGCTCTGCATCCAGTTTCTATGATCTACAATTTTCAAAAATGTATTTGATATCGCATACCTCTCAAAGAATTTTAAACAATCCTAACAAGCTTGCAAAAACTAACGAACTCAGCTTGGGGTATTGCATAAACTTGGGAATTTCAATTCTCTTAAAAAGTTAATATTAATGCGCCTCATGGGCCCTTTTTTTAATTTCCTTAATGGGGTAACAGATAGAACTGGAAATGAAAATGTCGGCGGCGTTACCACGGTTACTCATGTTTGCTGAAACGTTGGGTGTCCGTAAGACTGAAACCAAAATAATGATAGATAAACTTAGAGAAACCAACCTGAGGCAGTTAATGCGGAGGACGATGGTTGCTCCGATATTGGAATTCCAGGAAAAAGAGACAGCGTTGCATCCTATCTCATTTATCTCCTCGACATTCTTACACGCACGCTCGTCTGAAATAAAACACGGGTTAACATTGAGATGTCTAAATGAAAATACACTCAGTTTGTTTTATAAAGACGCGATTTATAAAGACGCGAATTATAAAGACAAAACCTTCAAATGAAAAAGTTAAAGACGGCAACGCTTCAAAATTGAAAAATTAAAGACACCACAACAGGTCTTTTCGCCGCAAAAACAAGGAAGTGAAACGAAGCGTTTTCTGGCTTCCCGCCAGAACTAACAGGTTATAATTCCCTGGCTGTTTCCCAGATTATGTCAGGAGTGAATCATAAATCAAGAGGCTTGCATATAATGAACATATTGACATGGGTGCAGAGTTGAGTCTGTACGGAACCTAGTAGTTTCAGTTCCTTGTTTAACTTGCCGTACAGCAAGGACATCCACTACTTTAGCCCGGCGAGGCACATAGCCAGAATTGATCAAATGATAGTATCTAGTATCTTCATACAAACGTTCGATTTCCTTAAATATTCATTATTCATCTTGCAAACAGTTCATACTTATAATTCCCTGGCTGTTTCCCAGATGTCAGGAATGAATTTATGCCAGAATAAATCAAATGATAATACTTAATAAGTAATATCTCCAAGTCTAATATCGACGTTCGATTTTCTTAAACGTTAAATATTCATCTTGCAAACAGGTTAAACTGATTTCTGGATAGTCCAGTCATTTACGGACATTTTTGGTTCGGTACCTGCAAATTTCTAGATACTCTCGAAACTTTGCACAGACCTTCACAAAGGTATAAATAAACGATTTAAAGACATTTTTACCGTGGGAAAACCCCAGTACTCAGTAGGGCCACGCTCATATTGACCCAATTACGTAACTAACCCTTTGCTTCTAAAGGTCGTAGAGACTTCGGAATGGGCTTAAACGAAGCCGCATATGCATGTTTATATAAGAGTTATTGATCAAAATATGGCGTAAAATATTTATTTCTAGAAAAATTCGCCAAAAACCATTTTGGTACTGGCACTATGCCCATTTTACAAACTTTTGATAGGAGCCCGATAGAGTCGGATAGAATGCAAAAGAACCGCAATTGGCACATTTATATATGACTTATGAAGAAACATATGCCTTAAAGTGCTAAAATGTTTTTCAGTTATTGGCGAAAAACTGATTTCGGTTCAAGAAATTATGCAAAAATATGGACTATGAAGGTCCTAGAGATTTTGAAATGAGTGCAGATTGTGCAGAATGGCCATGTTTATATACAACTTATGAAGCAACATGTACCTTAAAAATGTTAAAATGCTTGCTTTTCGAGTTATTGACATAAAACGGGAGGCAAAAATGGCTAATTTAACCAATTTTGCTCTGCTTTATTGCAAATTTGCAAGAGCAAAATAAGTCGTATATTAAAGTAACTATTGTGACGGTATAAATGTGCCAATTGCGGTTCTTTTCATTCTATCCGACTCTATCATGCTCCTATCAAAAGTTAGAAAAATGGGCTCAGTGCCAGGCCCAAAATGGTTTTTGGCGAATTTTTCTAAAAATAAAGATTTTAGGCCATATGTTGATCAATAACTCTTATATAAACATGCATATGCGGCTTCGTTTAAGCCCATTCCGAAGTCTCTACGACTTTTAGAAGCAAAGGGTCAGTTGCGTCATTGGGTCAATATGGGCGTGGCCCTACTGGGGTTTCCCCACGGTAAAATTTCTTTAAATCGTTTATTTATACCTCTGCAAAGTTTTGAGAGTATCTAGAAATTTTCAGGTAGATATTAGATACTATCATTTGATCAATTCTGGCATGATTCATCGCATTCCTGATATGATCTGGGAAACAGCCAGGGAATTATAACCTGTTAGTTCTGGCAGGAAACCAGAAAACGCTTCGTTTCACTTCCCTGTTTTGCGGCGAAAATACCTGTTCTGCGGCGAAAAGACCTTAAATAACTAAACTAGGATGTTTCCCAGGAATGAATCAGGGCCCAGGGGACATGCCTGATTACAAGCTGTGGAAACATGAGTACTTGTTGAAGCTCGTTATCCTGTGGTGGTACTCGTATATATAAGGCTCAATGAAGGACAAGCCATATCAATCATGGCTACTCCCTCTGTTGAATACACTACTGGTAAGCGAGGAAAGGACAACGCTCTCGTGGATGGTCAACGCTACACCTTAAACAGAAGAAGGAACGGAACTGATGGAGTCACAAAGACCTACTGGACCTGTGTTGTTGTTCCTGGCTGTCAGGCTCGATCGGTGCTTCTAAAAGTTAATTAAAGAAAAATAAGTAGAGTGGAGTGAAAAGTAAAGAAAAGTCGAGAAAAGTCGATATAAGATAAACTTGTCACTATATGGTGCTGTCACTATATAGTGCGTTTTGCACGCTACATAGTGACAAATATCAGCTGTCATTATAAAGTGCTTGTCACTATATAGTGTTGTCACTATATAGTGCGATTACCCGTAAGAACTATTGGTCGTTACCTGGATGAAGGCATTTAATTGCTGTCGGTGAGACAACTGGTTATATCTAAGTTAGATTACTGTTATTATCTGTACATGAATATACCCAAGACCAGATTAAACAAACTTATATCTATCTTTAATGGGGCAACATAGAAGACAGAAGCACGGACTTGGTTCCCTTCTATAAGAGTATAAGAAGTCCCACATACTCCCTATAGATCACCGAATCTTCTTTGAAGTTTGTCTATTAACTCAAAAATCAGTTCACGGTACTGCACCTGGTTACCTCAAAGCATTACTGGATGTTATGTAGTGGATACAGAACTTTCAAACACCGTGACCAAGTCGAAGAGACCGGGTGACCATCTCGTGCTCAAGATACCAAAGAATAAAAAGTCCAAAGTTGATGACAGACGTTTCTCACGTCATGCACCGGTTGCATGGAACTCTCTTCCAATGATGTTGAGATGTATTATTGATACCAACAGTTTCAAGCGAATGTTAAAGAACCATTTATATAATCAGTTTTGATGTCTTTTATTTCCATTTGTCTCCACTTTGCAAGACACATTGGTTTTTATTTTTTACCGCACTCCATTTTATGTCTTGATCTTTACCTTTCTACTTATTTACTTTAGGTATGGTTTCTGCTTCTACTTGGTTTAGTGTGGTTTACAATAAAACTATAAACGATGTTTTAGTTTGGTCTTTGCCTGATAATGAGTTATACTTTTGTTCACATTTACACATTTGCTCACATCACTCACAGTCTGTCTGACATGGTTAACCACCTTCCTTGTGTTGTTGGGGATATAAATACCTCATTTCATTTCATATAACGACAGACATCTATTGCAGGCACGAGCTGTATTGAACGTTAAACCCAAACAGGTTTTTGTGGGCTCCTGCATTCCTGTTGTGATCGAGTTGAAGTTATAACCACACAACGATTATACTTGTTCATAATCCACATTTTTTAGGGAGCAGATAAGAAGAGCCACAACCAGTACGCCATGATGCCATGATGCCATGATGCCATGATGCCATGATTTCATAGCAATCGAAAGATTGCGAATTTGTAGTTCAAGCCGTGCTATATTAAGACGCAATGAAACTATCGGACCACGATGTATGGGGAGTGGGGACTTGCCACCCCATGGCAACATTAAAATATATCGACTCTGTTACATCGTTTCCTGTTAATATAAAACTCCGTTACAAATTGAACTGGGATCTGGCAATACTACACCTTAGATCAATAAAATATGATAAAGTAATGTATAACTAGACTTAAGTAAAAGTCTGATAGAATATAGAAAACAAAATAGTTTACTGCTTAAAAGCTTAATAATAAACTGTGAAAGAGTGGTCAACGTAAATAAAACTGTTCCGATACAACCGATATGTCATTAATCAATGAACTTGATGTGTAAGCTGTGAGCTACGGTATCCGTTAAGTCCATGCAGCCCCGACCATTCAGCTAAATGGTCGGGAAGCCTTGATTGAGGGTTAAATATGGAGCTGTACTCGCGTAGGGAAACGCAGGGTGAAAATAGTCTGGTATGTATTACAATAGTCTGCTATGTATTCATACTTATTACTTATAATCCTGGATGTTTCCCAGATGTCAGGAATGAATCCTGCCAGTATCATAACCAAATGATAATATCTAATCTTCATACAGACGTTGATTTATCCTAACGACAAAATAGACAAACTTATATGGTCATGTCACATGATCGAAAAAGTTTTTAGTCGATAACTCGCCAGGCCCGGGGGAGCATTTTAACCCTATGTCATGGGGGGTGATTCGGAATAAATCGATTCAAGCTGTACTGGTTTCAACTTTTTTTAAATGTCGAAGTTCGAGTGCAGAGTGATTTAGTACGCTTGCTTGCAAACAGGTTATACTTTCGGGTTTCCCAGAATCCAGATATCAGGAATGATAGCAGCTAGGAATGTGTGGGAAGCAAGTCGTTGTTTACTGTACGGTCCGCGGCAGTGTCCTGACAAAGGGTACCGCAGGCGGATGGGGCATCAGAGGGGGTCCAACTTAACGTGCAGTAGACGCGAAAATATAATATTTGGAGGTTCAAAAAGCTCCAGGGAATGCTAGCAAGCTGTACAGGAGGGGGCACTAACAAGCTGTAGAGGGGGGCGTTAACAAGCTGTAAAGGGGGGGGGGGGGGGGGGGGGGCGCTAACAACAAATATTTGTGGGTTCAAAAAGCTCCAGGGAATGCTAACAAGCTATAGAGGAGGGAGGCGCTAACAAGCTGTAGAGGGGGGAGGCGCTAACAAGCTGTAGAGGGGGGGGGGGGGGGCGCTAACAAGCTGTAGATGGGGGGGGGGGCTAACAAGCTGTAGAGGGGGGGGGGGGCTAACAAGCTGTAGAGGAGGGGCGCTAAAAGCTGTAGATGGGGGGGGGGGGGGCGCTAACAAGCTGTAGATGGGGGGGGGGCTAACAAGCTGTAGAGGGGGGGGGGGGCTAACAAGCTGTAGAGGGGGGCGCTAACAAGCTGTAGAGGGGGGCGCTAACAAGCTGTAGAGGGGGGCGCTAACAAGCTGTAGAGGGGGGCCCTAACAAGCTGCCTCATTTTTAGAATTTTTTAGGACGTCAAAAATTATGTGAATCTTTGCTGCCGCCCAGGTGTTTTGATGGTAGTAAGCATACAGCTTACTTAAGTTTACCGTTGAGAGGCAGTCCCCTGTCCCTCCCTATTCAGGAGAACCTGATGCATGACCCACAGTACTATCTTACTATGTAAATATCTCATTAAACAGTGTTAAGATCTCTACTTTCTTTCTATGGTTCATTTGAAACTATAGCTACCATTCCTGTGGTGCTAGACCCTATATAGCTGCAGCCCGGCAAGGAAGGGCGTAGCACGGAATCTCACCCATCGTATGAAATATGAATAAACCCCTACCCTATGCATGCTATGTATTCTAATAGTAATGGACAGACATGGGAATGCAAATGCCTGGGAAAAATTCTTGCATATATCCTGGATTTCTTGGGGGTGTCCAACCCCAAAAAAACCCATTTCCAAAATGGAAATTTCAGGTAAAGTTGTGTTTTTTTGGGTTTTTGAAGACAAAATGTTAGAATTGAGGGCCAGTATTGAGTATAGGTCAGTGAACTCTTACTTGATTAGAAAACATTGAAAATAGTGCCTAGGGGTTTTGTTTTCAATGTAGTCGAATAACATAAAAAGTTACAAAAAAAATCCAAAAAACCCCAAAAAATCCATTCCCAAAATGGAAATTTGAGGTAAAATGAGTTTTTTTGGGGTTGGACACCCCCCTTTTCTTGCATATACCTGAATTTCCAGAATCTTCGTCCCAGTCCCTAAAAATAACATTATAACCTGCGACAAATGTAATTACTGTCTGATAGATTCCATTAACTGAAGTGAGGTTAGTCCTACAAGCCGGGGAGTGTGTATCACCTGTCGGGGAGTGTGTATCACCAGTCGGGGGCAGCAGAATAGTCTCATAAAATGTCAAATGCAGTTGATCAGTGTTCAGGCAGAGATTTCAGACTGTAAGACTGAACAACTTGAAACGTTAAAGAACACTGTCAAGAAGTCTGTCGTTGGGTCATCAGCTCGGAAACACTGAAGAGCGTAGTCAAAGAGGACCGCAGTCACAACGTCGTTGTATTTGGTCTGTCAAAAGAGAGCGATAGCGAACTTATTGACACAGTAGTATAGCGAAGTTTTTCAAAACATTGGACAGAAACCGAAGATCGTTGAAGCGTGTCGAATTGGCGAGAAATATAAGTACAATGCGGTTACCGCCCGGGCCCCCCCGCCCGTCAAAGTGAAAGTATCAAGCTCAATTGTGGTTGATCAGCTTGTTACCAACGCCAAGAATCTGCAGATAACAGAGAAGTTTAAATCTGGTGTCGTCTGTCCAGATCGATCTCCTGAAAAACGTCAGATCCAAAGAGACTTAGTCAAGGAAATGAAGGATAGAGCGGCAAATGAGAAGAACAAAGTGTTTTTCATAAAGGCTGGTAAAATTCATCGCGAAGATAAGACTGCAGCTGTGGGATAACAGAGTTTTCAATTATTTTTGTGGCGAATCGATTGTTTCGAGATGACATTTCTAGCTCGAGTTTTTGCAACATGTTGTAACATAAAGTTTTTGCTATTTTTGAGTAATCATACAGGACTGAACAGTCCTCGGGAGCCTACTTAGCATGTTAATTTATAACTTGCACATCTAGTTGCATTAATCTGTAGAAAAGTTTTCTTATAATGTTTATTTATTATCCTTTAAAAAATTATAATATTATGTTATATACCTATTTTTTTGAAAATGGTCATTAGCACCACCGGCACCGTCCGGGCCAACAACAGAGATAATGTATCATGTATCTGCACCACGGATACATCAACAAAATAATCATATAACCAGATTTTCGAGTTAAAGGATATGCAAATATGGTTATTAATGACTACTAGGACTTTAAAACTTACCAACGTCAAATACACGGATGTTAGCGTTAGGTTGCTGCGCGTACCAGTAAGTCCAGTACTCATGTTCTTTCCTTCTGTCTTGGTTTCTGAATACCAAATGAACTATCGACTGAAAACATTTGAGTAGCAACTCACAGACTGCACAAGCTTGTAAACTTTATACTAAACTTGATACTACAACATCTTGACAAAATAAGGTTGCCATAGTCCGGTAGAATAACTAGAATGTGCTACGTAGTTGGTTAATTTTACCTTGACTTTCAGGTTGAAGTCGAGTCTGTCTCGAGTGTTTGGGTTGGAGAGGAAATTTATCTTGTAGTATTGCCCTGAAGTATCTCAATACATCTTCTGCTATATCTTAGTTTTTGAAGAAATTATTCAAACAAATATTTTGTTTTGCTTTTTAGGAAGTGCTGAGTAAAATAAAACAAGTGTCGAAAAAATAAAACAAGTGAGATATTATTATTAAATTAAGTAATTAAGAACCTTACCTTTGTTGAGGTATGTCAAAGTATCATCACCCTTTTTCTGAACGATCGAAATTGGCGCATCGAGAATGAACTCGTATCTGAAAAGATAATTAGTTTATTGGACTTAGAAGTGACATTAGTGCATCGGAAGTTCACTACTAGCTGAAATTGTAAATACTGATTAGATATATTAGTAATCTTAACTTGGAGGGAATAACAATTTCAAAATCAACACTGAATGATAAGACGTATGATTGTATTATATGACAACTTCTAACGCAAAGAAAGAATTTGATCGGATAGTAAGAGTGTGCGCAAAGTTTCATGAAAAATAAAAATTTTGAAATTTAAAAAATAAAAAAATCACTCACTTACAACCTACAAAGGATGAGCTCATGAAGTAAATTAGAGAAATTCTGAGAAAAACCTGACCCTTCAAGAAAATGGATCAAAGAAAAACTATTCATAAGCTCACAGAAAATGATCAAGCCTAAAGAATTTCAATGAAAATTTCGTTGAAAGGGGATGGTTAAAACATAAAGATAAATTAGAGAAATTCTGAAAAAAAACCCTTCAAGAAAATCAATCAAAGAAAAACAATCAATATGCTCACGGCAAATGATCCAGCCTGAAGAATTTCATTCAAAATTTGGTTGAAAGGGGAAGGTAAGCACCCGGAACTGTATATCTGTGTGTGACTTACCTAAATAGAAAGGGCCAGTGGTCTTAGGACGCGCGGACACGAATGTCCGGCAGACCACTGACCCACTTGGCCTTTTTCCATGCACTGGAAAGGGTTAAATAGTACAAGCTTGGAATAAAGCTGTATAAATGAAGTGTATCCTCTGATCGCTCCTGAAATTGCAGTGTAAGTTGAAAGTTAGGGGCCGTAATACAGTGTGTTGCTCGGTAGCTTAAAATTGACCAATTTTCATGACACTTTACTAGCTGTAGGGGGGTTAGTCCTCTTAAATCAGAACAAAAAAGTGCTGCATTTCATAAGGTGGATTCGTTACACTAATCCATACTTTTCGTAGTCCGCGCGCTTTTCCTTATAGTTATAAGATGCCTAATCAAGGATAAAAACACTAAGATGGTTCTAACTGTTCTAACCTGACTGACTCATCCTCGTCATAAACAGTAGTTGAAGTTTGAACCAATAAAATTGATGAAAAGGTGGACGTCAGGTTTTAGGTATTAGGTAGCGTAGTTATGGATTTATTTTATTTTACTTTATTAGATCCTATTTGTTAGTAGCAACATTTGCCGCTACGTTTATATATCCCATGCTAAAATATGGATTCGGGGAGCTATAGGCCAAAGGGCAGGGTAGTATTCGCCAAAAAGAGAGCAGAGTGGCCTGGAGAGGAGGGTTGAGCGAGCGCAGGAAACTATTTCTAAGAAATAAACGAAGCTCCGCCAAAATTGAGAATTTAAACACAGCGAATCCACCGAAAGAATGAATAAAAGGGTAAATAGATGAGCCGGGTCGAAACTCACTTGTATTGGTTGTTGAAGATAGACATGTTCTGATTGGGGGATGAGGTGTTGGCAGCGACGTGAGCCAGCAACTGTTTGTCGAGATCCTTGAGAGTAAGCGTTCCGCCGTCTCCGCCCCCGTCACTGGTAACTTCCCTGAAAGGAGACGGGGGCACGTCAGGGTTCATTCTCGAATGTTCAAGAATTTGGAACAACCGTATGTTCGAATATCTGAATATTCGGATTAGCAAGTTCTCGGACTTTCGTTGGTCAAGTACTCGGTTAATCGAACATTGGGTTCAAGTACTTGAATGTTATACTCGGCTAACTAAACGCCGAATATCGAGAGTTTTTGATATCTCTATGTAAACTTGATTTTCCTTTGTTTCAGTTCATCAAATTGAGTTTGTCGGATCTATTTATGATTCGAAACCTCGCAAACGCTTCAGTCTGGATATGATTCTTTTTTGAAGAGGCATAATTGGAGCAATCTAATCACAATAATACCATGATTAGATACAATGATTAGATACAATGATTAGATAGATAAAGAGAAGTAGATAGTGGTAACCAAATTCAGCGATAAAAACATGGCACACTTTTACAAGGTAAGGGTATATTTATTGTCATCAGGACATCTGCTTTCTATTTTAGCATATTATCTTACATTAATAAACTGTTTATAAACATACAATAAGCTGCGTTTAATAAAACGTGATGACGAGATGAAATACTTACAACTGGTCATCCGTGTTTGCTGAGATACATGGAGCGGATAGGGATCTTTCTGTTGGCATGGCTGGCATCGTGAACTGAAAAGACTGGCGTCACATATAGATCTGCTCTCGGAAAATTTACTCGAGATTGCGATAAACAATATATTTAACAAACATCTTACAGTTTACGTTAACTTTAACGGTGCGTGATGTCATGAGAGGGTCAGCCTAATACGGTGTGAATAATTCACGATTAATTCACGATTAAAGCACGATTGATTATGGTCTCACGCACAATACTTGAGTCCTTGTTATGTTGGCCACGTTTATTATTGTCAGGTCCTTCACATCCTTTCTACTACATGACCGACAAACAATTACGAAAGTGAAGAAATAGAATTACTTCCTTTTGATCTAATTTCCGGGATATTTCACATTATCTTTGCGACATTGTTAGTGTATCTAACTTGCATCGGTCCGTTACTGTCGCGTGATTTTAGTTTGACACTCTCATAGGCTGGCCTTGATGGCAATAAGTAGGACCGGGATCGGAGAGTTAAAAGTCTATAGTTCTGAGATGGTAGTTGAGTCTCAACAAGAGCTATGCCTGACACCCCGGATAATTTCACATTCTTGCGAAAATATTATTTAGCATATTTTGCAGTCTGCAGATTAGATTTAAAATCTAATCAAACTTTCATACTTTCCATGATTCTCATTTTGGGGAGGATTTATAATGTAGAAAAATATTCCAGATTTTCCAGAAAATTGAATTATGGCTCTAGTTTAATGCAACCTCGCCTAACGACAAAATCTGCTAGATTTAGATTACACGTCTGATAACAAGTTAAGGGATCTCCTATTACAAGATTAAATCTAGTGAGACTGTATCCTCATGTGACACTTCCTGCGTTAGTTACTACTAGTAATCTAACTGGTGTTGAGTGACCAGTCTTAGTCACACTTAATATCTAATGGAAGTAACGTAAGTACGTTTCAAAATCAAGCAATTTAATTGTTTCAATTTATATGATGAACTCGTGAAAGGACCTTATGATCAATCATTGATGTTAAATATATCAGGCTAACTTGTATAGTTTACTATGCGTAAATTTGGGTGCACCTGAAAGTAATATTCTGATCGGTTGACACTGGACACCTACAAAAGAGTTCTGATAAGAAACTTTTCTTCAGAAATTATGTTCACACTGTGAAGAGTCAAGTCCTGCTACGGTTTCCTTACTTTCAAACTGAATAGAAGGTATAAAATCAAGAAGCACCTTGCTTGACTCCTACGGATTTCGCCTAAGATAATTTATTGTGTAATCTTAAATCTGCCACTCGTTTCAAATATTGGGTGCTCATTCCACAAATAATTGTCGCACTGTATGAATATCTGAATCTCCACAGAAAGCAAATCCAATTTGGTGCGTATGAAATAATTCCATAACTTACTTGATCTACACTAATTTAACATTTCGAAACCAAAAATGAACGGAGAATCGTTTAAGGTCACTTCCGAGGCACCTCGACAAAAGCTACTCACGGCCACCAGCCACGCTATTGTGTTTTTTTAACGGAGAAATGAGGCAGTAGCGTTTTTGATTTTTTAAAGTGCATATGCTGATTCTGAATACATTGCAAAACATTGAAAAGGTCTGATCTCGATTCTTGAAGTGTGAAAGAAGTTACTGCGATGCGCGCAAATTGGGGAGTATGCTTTCTGTGATATAATTATAGACTTCGCCAGTTTCTGTCTGAGCTTGTGACGTGGTAAAATGTAGCTCTCGATGATAGTTAAAAATAACCCCACTACTACTGCTACCTACTAAACACTGCACAGATTAGAGATAATTGAAGTTATCTAACCACGCTAATTGAATTGAAATTCTTGCGGATTGTGGCAAATCGGGCGGTTATTTTAGTAGCAAACTGTTAATACAAATGTAATAGAAATACTAGGTGGTATTATAAGCACATCTTATATATGCTCCGATCAAGTGATATTAATTCTAACTTACTCACATAAATCATAATATGGGTTCGTTTATATATTGATTATTCATAATTGCATTTCGACAGTGCCATCAGCTGAAAGCTTCAAAATGCATTCCAGTCCTTGGTATTGATATGATTGCTAACAGAAAGATATGATGAATGAAAACTGACACGTGTTGAGCTCTGGGTCAAGCTGAGAGAACGGAATTTAGATCACATCAAGGCCAGGAAACGTCGAGATACTGTATATCAATCTAACTTCATCATGTGCGCGCAGCAATCTATGCGCGCGCGATTTCAGCAACCATGCTATTTTACTTCCACTGTTGCATGATTTTTACTGCAGAATAAATTTCGCGCGCTCCATGAACGTATTTTGTTAGTGACAGAGGATGTTTTCTTCCGAATTGTAACGCTGCCTGAATCTGCATTTATATATATTGAGAGACAAGAAGGAACTCCATCTTAGGACGCCAGGACGAAGGAGGATCAAGGTTCCTCGGACTGCATTTAATCAATTTTTAATGATAGATAAATTTAATAGATTAGTTTAAAACGAATCTTAACGAAAGATTGCGCGTTTTCCATCAGTGGCATTTTGTTCATATCTTAAAATAGTTCACGCCCTAATCCAATAAAATAATAAACCTAAAACAGCTCAACGCCCTAATTTAATTTACTCACAATCAGATATGAACGTGTTCGGAGTAAGATATCACTGTAGTGTGATGTTTGGTGGTTTTTGGTGGTTTTAGATGGTTTAGTATGTGTATTCCCACTGTAACACTGTTAGTGGTTACTGGAGTGTGCAAAAAACAATACGAACCGTAAAATAAATTGATTTTCTGCCATGATGTCGTAAAAGACAAACAAAAAGGGACCTAAAACCTTCTTTCCTCCATTCTCTTCGTAAAATAAAGGATCGCTCTTTGATGACGAGTGTCGTCGAGATCGGCCACGCAATCGTCTCCCGATTTAAAATTTGCAGTCACACAATGACCAATGTTTGTTTTCGCCTCTCCTATGACACACTTTATTAATAACTGAAAATGTGTGACCTCCCAAGATTGAAACCCGGTAATATTTTATGGCTCAGGTCGACCAGAAGAATGCTTGAATAGAAAAATGTGTGCCTCGAATTTGATACACCCGTTGGGATGTTTTCGGTACACAGATTTGTATGATCACGCAGTGGTACAAGGTATGAACGCATGTACCTCTTTTGTACCTGCTGAGCCACTGGCGTAGGTACCATTTCCGGTGGTATCGTCTTATCACTTCTCTTTCTAACTTTATCTGGCCCGAATTCATTCGATTTGAGGTCAAGTTTGTCTAAGGTTACAACAAGATAACGGTTAATTGTACAGTTTCAGAGAATTGGAGTTTGAAATCGCCTTAACGTAATCTGTCCGTAATAGCGCCCGAGGAAAGTCATAACTTAATTATTAAGAGGGGTATGTCTTTTTGTCAGAACAAATTCATACATTATGCCAGCCAGAAGATTGTTAGATTATGTAGCAAAGGTTTTAAGTGTAACATCACGAGAACTTACAATCACTATGGCAAGGAATTTTCACGGACTTAATGATGAACTATTACTAATTAATGATGAACTTCTAATATTACTTAATTGTTGAACAAATCTAGTATATTTTGAGAAAGTAGGTGGTGTGTGAACACTGAATTTATCTTAATAACATTCTGTGATTTGCAGCACAAGGAATCCGGCTTCTAATCAGTGGCGTAACGTTGCACTTTGGCGCTCCTCACTGAAAAAGCAGCCCCCTGTTGGCGCCCCTCCCCTCTTAAAATTGGACAAATTAGATGATTTTAGACGATACACTGGTAAAATCTCTAAAAAAAGTGTGTTTCTAGAGTTCTAGAGAAAAACGCGCAGTTTTGCTAGTACTGCAGTTAAGTTTTTCAAACTTGTCTCACATTCAAACGACGATTTGGTGCCCCCTAAGATGCCCCCCCCCCCAGCACCCCTGCACAGCGGGGTCAGCGGGACCCTACGTTACGCCACTGCTTCTGATCTTTTGATAGGGTCTCCAATATAGCACTGTTATCTACTACTCCAAATTAAAGGTGAAAACTGTTAAAAATTAAATTGTAATCAAATTGGTTGTTTATTAATAACATCTGAAGCTTGAAAATAACAATTTAAAATCATGCGTATTAACGATTTTATAATATACCGACCTTATTTAGTTGATGTAAAGCGGCATTGAGTGGCAAGCCTAACTGTTCAACTGTAAGTCATATGCATAGAGATTTTTCAAATAATTTGGTTTCGACTTCAGATCTCGATCCTATAGATATAAATGATGATGCTTATAAATGGTGAGATAAACGAGAATAAAAGAGAAAGGGATTGTTTAATGAGCCTATCAACGATATGAATTAATAACAGAAAACATACAAGGTTTCTTTAAAAAGAGATCTAAAAAAATCGCAATTAAAAAGAGTTTTGAAACAACAAGCGTGTTCTATTCGCCAAGTTTCTGTGCCTATAAAACACACCAACTTACGAACTAAAGTATTAAAATAAATATAAATAAAGACACAGCTGAATTTAAAACCCAACAGAAGGTGGCATTGCTTTGCTGCAAGTACTGGCACCAGTACCACTGACGGTAAAATAAAGGGACTATTGCCGAATGATTAAATTAACTAGCAGTATCCCGTCCTACGGACTATTTGTCCAGCTTCGAAAATAAAAGTACATTTTAAGACAGCAAAAACATTCAAAGCCCCCGGCCGTTATAGCTAATAGCTTCAACACTCCATTTCGCGCCCTCCATATAGTTATGTAAACCCTCTATTTCGCTTCCTACATATTATATGTAGTTGAATAGAGTTGAAATATAGACGACCCTAATACACCGAGACTTCACGGTGCATTGAAATTACAAGGAATAAGATTTCGGGCGAGAGATGAAAAATCAGGTACTGAGATGCTAAATATCTGCAAAGTGGACATTAAATATCAAGTTCCTGATTACATTCTCAAAATTTAATCATGTAGTACGTGGGTAAGTGTTCAATGGCATTCTACGAGGGAGAGACCGTGTTCTTCAGTTAGACTTAGATTCTTATATTGAAAG